TTTTGGGTTTTCTCCGCCTGACATCAGCCCCGCGGAGGTGAAAAAGTAACCCCTACTCTTTTCCTCATCCTTATCATCGTCACTAGTACCACTACTCCCAAGTCTAAAGTAGATTATATTCAACAATCTAACTTTTAATTTATTATTTTTTTTTGCTGTCACCTTAAACTGACGACGGACGTCTGGCGATCCACTTTCCATTCCTACATACATCCGCCGCTCCACGTTGCACCGTGGCGATTACCTACCTTAAGCGGGTCTAATCCATTATCCACCTCCGAGTACCTGAGTTGATATACCCTTACGAGTTGCTAGGGTCTAATACGGCTTGACGACCTATACCCACTAGTGTCATCTTCCTGGTCACCTTTTCTTTTCTTTTCTTTTCTTTTTTTTTTTTATAATCAATCAGTATCGAACAGGCCGCATCGACTAACCTTTCGCTATTTGCCGTTTGAGAGCTTCCAACGATATCAATTGACAAGATATATTGTCTTCACTGCCCTAGCCTAACCCGCAGGACACTAGTTCTCAACCGAGATCAATCATAATCGGTGGCGATCAGTCTTCTATACCGTGCACGGTATTCCATGATTAAGGCACTACTGGCCACATACCGGACTTGCTAACGGAACGGATTGGGTAAAGATGTCGATCAAGTATGTGAATGACCCCTCACGACTCCAATTTCCATAAGTCTTCATCATTGTTGGTGCATATTTCTCGCTCCCAGATATTCCTGACCTCCGGGCCTGTATCTGAAATGAGCCTTATACAATTTTACTCTCCTTTATCTTTTCACACCTGGCTTCAGCCCCCACTTTTTAGTCCTCACGGGCAATTACCACTATATCATTCCTACCCGATTTCGAGAGAGGAAGGAATAAGACATGATATGGGATTGATTCTAACCTACTCTGCCGAGCAGCTGGGTGATGCTACATGAGCATGAAGGCTTTGTCCGTCTTCCTCATGAGCATTTGATATATACGTCCCCACCTCGCACTTGCCTTTCTTTGAAACCACTCGACTCATATAAAGGCAAGGATGCCATATCATTCCAAAGTGATTCGGGCCGAATTTATCTTACAAATCATCGAGTACATCCCCCTCTTATCAGTTTTCTCTTTTGACATTATATTTTAGTGATCTCTTGCACACCTTTTCCTGAGCTTACAAGTAACTTCATATCAGGTCGTATATATACCTTCCAAGAAGTCCAATGACTTCCAATCATTCTCTGCACCTCTTCTTCACATGCATGATACTCATGTATCAGCCCCACTTTTTGGTGCAAATGTGTGGCAGTCTCTTGTCCAGCCAGTACCTGGTGGAGGCATACCCTCATCATTGCCAGCAGTACAGCTGAAGGTGACTTTCAAGGAGGGAGGAGCGTTCGATTATCACAATAAATTCGAAGAGATCAAAGAACGCCTACGAGTGGCCCATGAGAACACCCGACAAAGCAGCCGAGGGGTTGGGAATGTTGATATGTCTACTGTTCATTTGGACCAATTGCCCGCTTACTCCGGCCCAGTTCATGATTCGACTGGCTCCAACCGTGACAACCAACATCCTCCATCAAACTCCCAGGATAGCCATGCTACTTCAGAATCGTGTCCCATGGGACCGCCGCCAGGCTATGAAGAAGTTCAGCAGCAGAGTGTCGCCGATGAGCTCGAAGAAAGGTTACGTCGTGCCAGCTGAGAAAGCATATTATTTCCTGGACCTAATTAGACGCATTTTTCGTACCTCGACATATCTCATCTCTCTTTTTTATCTTTCCATGGATCTTAATGACTATAAACAATCCGTTCTTGTACAGTACACCTATTACTTACTATAGCTAAAGGGTCGATCTAGCACCTAGTGCGTTTAAGCACCATTAGCTTTTCTGGCTTTTTCTTTTCTTGTTATTTTTTCCTAAATAGGATTATAGAACCTATTCTTAAGATATATATTATTGAATATACCACTCTAGCCATTTCTAGCAGTTGGAAAGGCTCAGTATCAGATTGTTATTTCTTGAAAATAGGATTACTGCATTGGTCAATCCCCTACCGAAGCGCCGGCCAATCACGTGTGCGATAATTGAACACTCGCCGGCGGCCGGACTGTTCCGATTTTCCTGGACGGCAGAGCCAAAGCTTCGTAAAACCATCAACCTCATCAACCTCGCTCGTCGCTGCCGTTTGCACCCCCCACATTTTGGAACCCCGGCCCTCCAATCCCCTCAATTGATACTTCCACACAGTCCAAGATGGGTATCTCCGACTTTTTCTCCGATATCATTTCCTCCTTCAGCCTCCCCGAGGCCCAGGCTGAGGCTCCCGCTGAGAATGTTGAGCAGCCCAGCAGCCAGGAGACCGAGACCGAGGAGAAGCCCGCTGTGACCGAAGAGTCGACTAGCGAAGAAACCGCCGAGAGGACTGAGGAGTCCGCTGAGGAGACTCCTGAGGAGCCTGCCGAGGAGGAGCCCGAGCAGGCGGAAGAGGAAGAAGAGGAGGAAGAGGAGGAGGAAGAGGAAGAGGAAGAGGAGCCTGAGGACATCAAGCCCCAGCTCGAGGAGGGTGAGTCGCTTGTTCAGATTAAATCCCGCGTCTTCATGATTTTGCATCGTTAGACTTGCCATGTTGCGCGGCAATGGCACGATTCGGCCAATATACACCTGATCTCCATTTGTCCGCATCGCACATGCCATTGGCACAAAATCATCTTTTGTCGTTCTAATCGCACGTCTCGTATTCGCGGTGACTAACATTGACGGTATTAGAATGTGCCAACTCCGCTCAGTGCGCCCCATACAAGCACCACTTTGATGAGTGCGTTGAACGTGTCACCCAACAGCAGGAGGATGCCGACTACAAGGGCCCCAAGGAGGACTGCGTCGAGGAGTGTAAGTGGATTCTTCTCTATTCTCTATTACTTTGGGACTTTTACTCTGGCGGCTGTGCCAGCCATACATGTCCACGCATATCGAATGCCTCAAATAGCAATCGTTAGAACGAAACTGACATCTCTTGCTCTAGTCTTCCACCTTGCCCACTGCGCTTCCGAGTGCGCCGCCCCCAAGCTCTGGAAGTCCCTCAAATAAGCGTCTCGTCCCGGGACAATTCCTGCCACGTTTCTCTTATGGTTCAATGGCAACGAGTTTAACGATGGCGCATCATGCATGGACCATCCGGATGAGATACGAAGGGGGAACTGTGGAGGGAACTCACAGAATAAAAGACGTCATGACGGCTGGCTGTTTCCGCTTGTCGGCCTAAAGTGTCTCGCATAGAATGGGAATAGACTCCTCTCCAATGTGGGATTTGTGTCAAAAACGGAGGATGGGGGAATGACATCCTTCGCTGTGTATGTACAGATAGCTGGGTTTTTGCCTGTTTGTGAACTGTGCTTCTTAATTTTCTTTGTGTTTAGAACGAATGGCATTTGTCTCTTAGACTGCTGCTACTACCGCCGGTTCCCACTGGATCTTGTCAGAGATGGGCTTGCACTAGGTTTATACCACGCGTACTCTTTTCCTTTGGGGCCGTCAAATACTGGGCCATATGCATGACAATTATATACGCATCCCTCAAATCCGAACGACAACCACTGCTAACATGAAAACATGTCTGATTTTAAACCAGGAAGCTCCCTTGTGCTAACTATTGTTTCTCGACCAAAACTTAAGGCTAAACTTTGACTCAGTCGCAGGTGTAGGGCTGTCGTCCCCCGCAAGACCGGTATCAGTATACTCACGACCCTCCAGATCAACGCCTCTATCCACATCCAATCTCCGACGTCTAACATTCCTCCCGAACAGCCCGATCGAGATAGGAAATGGCGCCGCAACACAAGCAATAACAGCCGAGAAGATCAGCGCATTTCTCATGTTCTCCGGCGGGTCGGCGTCACGACCTGCCTTGAGTGCATCCTGCGCTAAAATAAAGACGGCCCCGAGGAGCTGACCGCCCGTCCAGCAGATTGTGCTGCCGATCTCGGGAGAGAACGGATACGTTATTTCGACGAGATATTCCAGGACGACGGGGAGGAGGGCGAAGGAGGAGGCGCCGAGAAGGGCGCAGACGACGTAGGCCGGTGCGATGCCCGCCGGGCTGGGTGGGGCGAAGATTAGACCGATATAGCAGACTGCTACGATGGGGACTAGGATGCGGATGGTGATCAGGTAGTGCTTCCAGCGGTCTGTTATTGGGGAGACGATGGCTGAGCTGATTAGACCCACGATGATGAGGATGCCGCCTGCGATTCCGGCTTCGGTTTCGGTGAAGGCATAGGGGGCGAGGATCTGGTTGAGGAGTGAGGAAACGCTGTTGAAGAAGCCGACGTAGACTGAGAAGGGGATGAGGATGAGCCAGAACTCTAGCGTCTTGAAAAGTTGGGCTATTGCTGGGAGGAGAGGCGTGCGGGTTGTTGCTGAGGATGCACTGGGTGGTGTTGGGGGTTTTGATGGGAGAATAAAGGAAGGAATGGCAGCGATTGTTGCCTGTGGTTTTGCATCAGATCTTGTTAGAAGAAAAGAGGGCCTTCAAGGATAGGTTTGAGGGTTTCATCTTTCTTCTTCGCCTTCATTTTCGGGGTCACACTTACAATGACGGATATATACAGAACCATATCGGGAACCTCGCTGGGCTTCGTCGCCCAGAACGAATCAATTAGCTGGCCCAGAGCTGCTCCCAATGGATTGGCTAAGGTGGCTACGGCCGTGGCACTGGTGCGCCCTTGGTCCGAGAACCATAGGTCACTGTACCGGGTGGGAGCGCTGAGACAGAACGGCTGAGCCAAACCGATGAGGATCTGGCCGAACATGGCGACGCCAAACATGCCTCCACGGGCTTTGGTACCTGCATATCGAACCCAATTTCCCACCAACAGGAGGGTGGAAGTGGTGATAATGGCTGGTTTGGGGCCGCCTTTATTGAGAGTGAAAATGACGACACTGGCATATAGGGGTACATTATCGTCAGTTTCATGTCATAGTTGAATGCAGATGCAGGAAGACTTACGGGCTAGCGGCACAGAAGGCAAACAGATATCCTGTACTCATCCAATTGATTGCGCTTTCGGAGACACCAAAATGCTGAGAGGCAGTTGTGGATATGGAGGAGAAGGTTAACCACTGTGGTATGGAATTTTAGTACAACATGCTGCTGCTGCTTCTTATTCAAAGGCTACGGTATCGCCGCACTAGTGATTACGAGATTGAGGATCACATACATCCCAGCTGACCACAATGTTCAATAACACCAACTGGGCCAGTCCCCAGAAGCGACGCTTGTAGACCTTATAGCCAGGCCCCGAGGGAGGGAAATCCGACGGGTTTGAGGTATGGTGTGCATCTCGTGATTTGGAGGGCATGATGGGAGGGCTAGTTATTTCTCTTCATAATTCTATTATAAGATGGAAGAAAGTGATCTTCAGCAATCAAATATAAGTTGGTATTCTTGAAGAACCGGAGAACGCCGTTGGGAATGATCCGACGGGGGTTACAGCGCACATGTGGCGCAATCCCCATTTAATAAAAATACCCCAGAGATAATCAGGAAGAACCTAGGTTCGTCTCTGGATTAGGGCACTGAGAACAATCGTATCAAGTCAGTCTCACCCATTATTGGGGTTCAATAAACCCGAGGCTTAAGACCCGAAGATCGACTGCGGGGTTTGAGAATCCATTTAAATTAAAGAAGCCCGATAATTGGGTGCAGATACTAGTAGAGTAGTAGCTGACAAGAGAGAATTCAATGTAACCTTTTGCTTGTCTACTAGTATCTTTCGAAGTCAGGTGAATCTCCATCACATGATGAGAGAGCATCTGATCTGTTGACGGATTTGGATTGCAGTGGACTTTCCAGTCTGGAAAGAGTGAACCAACTCGAGGATTTATCCAAAGGAATGGAGATTGTCTCAGGCACGTTATGTATGGCCGTCCAATCATCGTCTCGTATCGCCTGTCGGATTTTAATTGCAATGAATGTTTCACAATCCATGGCTCATCAAACATCAATTTCTGGAGAACTATTTTAATCCTTCCCGAATCCGAAGATCTTTCGATCTAGAAAGTCTCGGGGGATATTAACAAACAACAACCTTCCAGAGGGTAGTGACTGACCTGCAGCCAATTCGACATGCCTTCGACGGACATTATACATCATTTTCTGAGTATCTGGGCTGCAGCAGGACACGGAAGATCAATCTGATTGCTCTGAGACCTGCGCAGTCTCTATCAACTTTCCATGTTCGCGACAATAATCGTGCTGAGTTTACCTTCCGGGATATTTTCATCCGTCATACTCAGTCAGAATGTTCTAATGAAAAACAAAAGAAAAGAAGAGAAGGAAAGGATTAAGGTTCGTGAATCATTGCCCTTTCCATTGCAGATGATGATTGGACATGCGATCTTTCTCACCCTCTACGCTCCTTATCGTCACTTCCCCTAATATTATAACTCCCATAATTTCTTCAAGGTTCATCCATCTCCAATGCTGACACATATTGCATTGGATCTATCGAAGTTACTCTCTTTCTTTCTTCTTTTTTTTTTTTTTTCGTGTCTCTCTTCCTCTTTTCTTTCCTTCGCTGGTGGCGCTGAAGATTTAAAAGTGTCCCATAATGGTTCGTGTCCACTGGCTGGGCGGCTGAGCATCGACACTCTTTACTCCGTAGTTTGCAGATCGTCTCGACTCCGTCCTCGCTTTCAACTTTGTCTCCCCCAACCTTCTTTCCTTTCTTCCCTTATTACTCCGCCGCTTCGTCTCATTTTCTTCCTATTCTTGCTCTCGTCCCTCTTTCAGCTTGGAATTCTGTTTCATTTCGCCTCCCTCTACCGCTTGTCTAAATCCCGGTCACCTCCTGTAACAATAAACACAGAGTGCTGCCCCCCCCCCCTTCAGGATGTATATTGTCTAGTACTCTTTCTGCGAGTCTCTCTATCACTAGTCTATCTCGCACAATCTCACTCGCCGAATTTTTTTTTTTTTTTGCGTACTTGTATTCATAATGAGTGGTTTCGACGTACGATCCAGTCAATCGTCCTATGGCGATCCAAGGCACTTTTCCGGCGCCTCCTTTGGCGCTCCGCAACCTCCCCCGACGAAGGTTCTCATGGACGCATACCATGGCGCTCCCATCCTGAAAAATGTGGAAACTCCGCGCTATAATCCAGTAAGTGGCTCCTCAACCTCATGTCAAGCCCGCCATTTGCTGACGCCTTCGCTCCGTCCATAGTTGAATACGACGCACCCAAGAAGTTCGGCTTTACTCAACGGCAATGATCCTGTGACGATGTATTTGTTGACCGAAACCGCTATGGGTGACAGTGCGCATTATGAAGTCCTGTCCCTGGAGGAGGTTGAAGGGCTGAAGAAAGAATTCAAGTTCCTTTCAGGTCGCTTGGAGTCTGCCAAACGGAAACTGGCCTTGGAGACGAAACTTCGTGATGCAGCCATGTCCCTTAGCCGACTTTATAACTCGAAGAGCTCTAGGTCGAGCGAAGAATATGATGTGGAAGGTTCTCCGAAATCCAATCGGAGTCGTAGGAGCATGTTCGGTCGCAATGGCGCTTCAAGTACACTCGACAAAACGGATGGGGAGTTGGCAGTGAGCACGCGGAAGTGCGAGGAGCTTTCGCAGGAAGTCTGGAACCTGGAAAGTAGAGTTCAGCTGATCCAAAAACGTTTACTGGAGCATACTGCTGGCGTCCTACAGATGACACATAAGGGGTTAAAGAAATATCCGAAGAACAATGTGCCCAATACTCCTGAGAGCCTCTCCAGCCATAACCCCCGTGGTAGTATCGATGACTTCGATGATAGGAGCTTATACAAAACGTCAGATCATCTCAACGAGCTCGGTGGGAATGGGCCTCAAGAGCCAGGCCCTTTGGCTCATTCGAGTCAACCGGCAGTCGGCCTCGATACGATCCAAAATACCGAGAAAAAACTAGAGATGCTAAGTGGGCAGATGCGTGACATGATTCTACAGTCCAATCCCAACAGTGACATCGCTCCGGTTCCACAAGTCTCGGTGGAGGGATCCATGCCCAACCCTACGGCAACTATTGAAGCTTATATGGCATACATCGAAGACGGGCTCGGCGCACTCGCGATTCACTCCAATAACACCTCCGGCACTAGAAGCATGGACCACGGGAGCGATCAACAGTTAGCGGAGGTCAACACTCGACTATATCAGATCGTGAACGAGTCGGGCTTGCCGCGCTCACGGACCCTTCCGCCACCACCTGCTATATCTAACGGGAGGCTTGAGGAACACCTCTCATACCTTAGCGAAGGGATCGACGGGCTCCATGAGCGCTTGGGAGGGCTCCTTGAGCAGAAGGGCATCCTTACTACCCAAATTCAGCAACAACGGGAGCTAAACTCCAAATCAGATGCGGAAAGGGATGCACATATCGCCGACCTGATCGAGCAGTTGGCTCGCGTGCGCAAGGAGCTCGACTTGGCTGAGCGAGAAGGGGAACAATCTAAAAATGTGCTGGACCACACGATGGAGCAGCTGGAGGCTGCACGCCGGGAACTGTCAGATCACCAGCAACGGGCCATCCCAGAGGACAATTCGGAGGCCATCGCATCTGAAAAAGAAGCTCGCACACGCGCAGAAGCCGAGGTGTCTCGTCTGCAAACCGTCGTAAAAGAGCTCCAACACGCGAAAGATGCCCTTTCTGAAGCTCATGAGGCACGTCTTCGCGCTGAAACTGAGATTACCCAGTTGCAAGCTGTCGTGCACGAACACCAGCGCGAGAAAGACGCACACAACGAAACCCAGGAAGCGCATCGTCACGCGGAAAGTGAAATTGTTCGTTTGAAGAACGTTGTGCAAGAGCTCCAGCACGAAAAAGATGCTTATGCCGAAACCCACGAAGCGCGCCTTCATGCGGAGGCTGAAGTTGCTCGCTTGCAGCCTGCCATCCAAGAGCACCAGCGCGAGAAGGATGCTCACGCGGAGACTCATGAAGCACGCCTTCGCGCTGAAGCTGAAATCGCACGTTTGCAGACTGTCATCCAAGAACACCAAAGCGAGAAAAACGTTCATGCGGAGACTCATGAAGCACGCCTTCGCGCTGAAGCGGAAATCGCCCACTTGCAGGCTATCATGCAAGATCTTCAACAAGAAAACAAGACTCAAGCGGAAGCCCATGAAGCACGCGTCCGTGCCGAGACCGAAGTTGCCCGCTTAGAAGCGCAACTGGAACAGATTCGATCCGAGTCCAACAGTCATACAGAGCAACTGTCTGCGGCACGCTCCGAGGCAGATAGGGAGATCGCGCGCTTACAAGCTGTGATCGATCAACTTCGCGGCGAGGTCGACGCAAAGGCAGAGGAGGTCACGGAATCCCGTGAGCGATCAGAAAAACAGATCTTGAGTTTGGAGGAGAGTATCCAGCAGATTCGTACTGAAACTGACGCTCGGCTGAAGGAAGCCACTGACTCGCGCACACAGGCCGAGGATGAAATCACTCGGTTGCAAACTCTGATAGAACAAATACGCTCCGACGTGGAGTCTCAACTCAGCGAGGCAATCAAGGCTCGGACAGACGCTGAAGAGAACTCGGCACGCTTGCAGGCGGAATTAACCGAGCTCGAAGGTGAAGTTGTGAGGGTTCGAACTGAACTTACAATGGCTCAGGCTGAGCTCGATAGCGCTTATGGTAGCCGGTCTCAACGGGCAGCCGCTGTCGACCCTGCCCTTCAAAAGGAGCTCGAGGTGTTAACCACCCGTAACATCGAGCTGGCGCAGGAGCTCGCCACTTTTAAGGCTGGTAAGCCTGCAAGTAGCGACACACAGCGACGCGTAGAGACGTTGGAGAAGGAGCTGCGCGAGACGATTGACGACTATGAAGTCATGACCAAGGCTAGTATCGAATTTGAGAAAGAACGCGAGAAGTTTGAGAGCCTCATTGACGCGCTTCGGGATCGCTGTGAGCAACTGGAGACTCAATTGAATGAGGAGCGGATCACCTGGATGGGTATGCACTCAGCGTCAATGGGACGAGATGGAACCACGTATGAGACCACATCGACCATGGTGCTGAAGAATGAATTCAAGAAGATGATGCGTGACACGCGGACAGAAAATATGAAGATACTGAAGGTGAGTACATCGTTGTCCATTCTCTAATAAAACCCTCGAGCTGACTTGAGTACAGGCGGAGCAAGAAGAACGCCGAAGGCTGGAGGCTTTGCTCAGGAATCTGAAAAAGGAGCAAGCCAGCAAAGCTAGTCCAAACCAGACCGTCACGGCTTTATGACGATGATGATATCCTAAACTTCTCCTTGTTGAACCTCAAGCCATCCTATTTCGGTGAGGTCACTTCATCTTGCTGATATTCTTTTCATTGTACATATTAATGTTTATTAACTCTGGGTATATATTGGTTCGGTTATGTTCCCTCTTGTTGTTCATATTCTAAGGGACTTAATAAATGTATATCTACTATTCGAAATGCGCAAATTGGACTTGGTGACTATCCTATGATTGATCGCGATTCTTGGTTTTGTCAGACACAGTTCGTCATAGTGATGCACGTACCTCCTACAGTACGGCATTTAAAGAACCACAGAAACACTAACTTCGGCATATGCTTACCTCTAATGTCTAGGATGAGAGAATTTCGACTTATCTCTACCAGACGACCAAAGGTAGTTCTTTCCCTCCAACCCACTGGAGTGCTGCCTTCTCGATTGGACTTTAGCAAGGTTGGAAGGTACGGTGACATTCAAGTACCGTGCTCCCAAGTCAATTTGTGCCTTTCGTTGACTACACGTTGACTAATCCTATGCCAGTTCTCAGATCTGTCATGCCTCAGAATGGATCTGCGATGTCGCTCTCCTTTAATCAGTCCGGACCCTGTCCCACATCAGAAAAGAGCGATATCCCACCCGGGCTCGACCAGAGAGTCATCTGGATCGAGTCCAAGCGATGCAAGCTCGATATATAATGCCGCGAGGGTAAGCTCGGGGTTAGAGGACCTTGTGTCTAGGACGAGTGGTACCCTGAATAGCAGAATGGCAGCAAACATGGCAATGTTTGTCTCTCCCACGTCTGAGTACACGGCAGGTAATTCACCAAAGCCAAATACATCCGAAAGCCATATACTGTCGCGGAAAATTGATGGACAACGGAACATGCCGAGTACAGAGGAGGCACCAGAAGTAGACCGGTTTGCCCAACGGCGACACCGCAAAACGGCGAGTGTCAACGATGCAGATGCAAAAGTGAGAGCTTCCAGATGGGTAGGAAGTATACTGTCCCCTGCGAGTCCAATTCTACCCACGTACCCACCACCGGTAAGAATGCCCACACCTCCGGGGCTTCCATCTTTCGGCACCGAAGAGGCAGTCCGTTCCTCTGCGAGGTTTCCTGTCCAATCAGCACCGGGCAATGGGCAATTCCAGCAACGTGACCGTTGCAGCAACGCTGCTGATGGCAATAGAGTCCAATCCTACGGGGAGTCATTTCTAAGATTCTTTGGTATCTCTTCATCCTCTGCCTTTCGGCCTAACAGGCGAGGATGCACTGCTGTGAGG